GGGTCCCTGCCTGGGCGATACACCTGAGCGAACCACGCCTGCAGAGCCCTGAGTCTCAGTCTGGCATGCCTGACCACACGCGTGCATGCTGCTATGTGGCCCAGCAGCCGCAGGGAGGCCACCGCTTGCTGGATAGCCCAGAATTGAGATACTGGAAGGCTTGCCCTGGCCTGATCTGCGTCCAGGACTGTCCCTATGAATTCCACATTCTGCATGGGCTTGAGAGTGGACTTGGGGACGTTGATCAGGAGTCTCAGGTCGCGGAACAATCTCAGGGTCACCTCCACATGGCCCCACACTTCTGCTTTGGATCGACCCGTCAGGAGCCAGTCGTCGAGATACGGGTAAACCCGGACTCTCTGCCTCTGTAAGAAGGTCGCCACCACCGCCATGCATTTCGTGAACACTCGTGGGGCCGCAGATAGACTGAACGGGAGAACCACAAACTGGTAATGTCCTTGGCCCACGGTGAAGTGCAGGAACCGCCAATGTGCTGGGTGGATGGCGATATGAAAGTACATGTCCTTCATGTCGAGGGAAGCGTACCAGCCTCCCAGATCCAGGGAAGGGATGATGGTGCCCAGAGAGATCATGCGGAACTGGGCCTTGACCAGGAACTTGTTGAGCCCACGCAGGTCTAAAATGGGATGAAGGTCCCCTTTGGCCTTGGGGATGAGGAAGTACCAGGAGAAGAAACCTTTCCCCCTTAGGCCGTGCGGCACCGCCTCTACCGCCCCCAGCAACGAGCGAACCTTGTTCTCTAGGAGATGCTCATGAGAGGGGTCCCTGAAGAGGGATGGGGAAGGGGGGTGGGAGGGAGGGAAGGAAGGAAGGAAGGAAGAGAATTGCAGCGAGTACCCATTCCGTACCGTGTGTAAGACCCAACGTAAGGTCCCAATGTAATGCTGGACCATGCACGGGAGAAACGGGCCAGGTGGTTCAGGAAACAAGGGGACAGATCCGGTGACTGGTCTGGTATGCAGTCCTGAAGCGCACCTTCAAAAGCCTGGCTTAGTGCCTGGCTGGGATTTGTGCTGACCGTGGTTCTGACCCGGCGCATTATTGTTGTTGTTATTGCGCCGTCGCCTGTTATCCCTGCCTCGCCTACGGTAAGGTTCATACCTATGACGAGGCTGGTACTGGCGCTGAGGGGGAGGCTGCGGCTTAAAGGGCTTCCTCTGCGTCACCGGGGCGTGCATACCCAGTGACTTACGTGTAGCCCTCAAGTCCTTGAGGCTATGCAGCCTCGCGTCTGTCTGGTCCGAAAAGAGCCTGGACCCTTCAAAGGGGCGGTCCTGAAGCATACTCTAGACCTCAGGCGGCAGGCCTGACTCCTGCAGCCACATCGAGCCTCATGACCACCCCTGACACAATTGTTCTGGCCACCGCAACTGCTGAATCCAGGGAGGCCTGGAGAGAGGTCTTAGTGACTGCCTTGCCCTCGTCCACCAGGGCCATAAACTCCTGTTGGGAACCTTGCAACAGGCTGTCCTTAAGCTTTCCCCACCGCTGCCCAGGAGTTAAAATTATGCCTGTTGAGGATGGCCTGCTGGTTAGTGATCCTCAACTGAAGGCCCCCTGACAAGTACACCTTTCTGACAAAAAGGTCCAGACATTTTGCCTCCTTGGCCATAGGTGCTGGGGCCTGTTGTCCATGGCGCTCCCTTTCGTTCACCACAGAGACCACCAGGGAGCACGGACTTGGGTGGCAGAACAAGAATTCGTAGCCCTTTGACGGGGCAAAGTACTTGCACTCCACACCTTTGACCTTTGGAGCGCTGGAGGCAGGGGTCTGCCATATAGTCTTATAATTCGATTGGATGGTCTTAATGAGCCGGAGCACTAGTCTAGATGGACCTTCGGGGCTCAAAATGTCCAAGATGGGGTCCTCCTGCTCAACTGTCTCCTCGGCCTGCAACCCCAAGTACTGGGCAACCCCATGTAGTAGCTCCTGGTGGGCTCTGTGGTCTAATGGGTGGAGGGCTGGACACCGCTGTTCCTGCCACTGCCTCATCTGGGGACATGTTAGCAGCTGCTCACCCCCCTCTGGCTGGTCCTCCCACTCCCCTTCTTCCATGGGAAGGGCCTCCGGCTCGGGCTGAGGCAGGAGACCTCGATGCTGGTCTCTCCGGTTTATCCTGGGGGGATGCTGGAGGCCTGGATACTGTAGCTTCCAGTGCCATCGGTGCGGGGAAGTGGACTGCTGCACCAAGTAGCTCGCCCTGGATGGGGCCCCTTGGCGCCGTTGATAGGCCCAATGAGTCTAGAAAGGCCAATGACCTGGCAGCCCCCACTGGGGGTTCCACCCTGTTTGAGGGTCCTTGCTGTCCGGAGCACAGTGTGAGTAACTGTTATGGCTGGAGTCGGTGCTGGACTGCAGTGATGCTGACTGTGAAGGCCACGGCAGTGCCAACGATCTGTGCTGGCGGGAGGTCAACAAGCGGCTCCTAATGGAATGGGAGCAAGACCGGTACTGATATCCCCAGGACCAGGACTGGCGCCCTCGGGACTGGGATTGGCGTCTGCGGGAGTCCTCTGGAGAGGGCTGTCTTGACTCCTCCTGGTGCCGGCCTCTAATTGGTGCCAGAGAGCGTCGTGCCTCTTCTGTTACTTCCTCGCGCCGACCCACTCCCTGTACCACGACTTCCTTCTGAGCCACGGGTAACTGGGAGTCTGCAGACACGGAGCTCTATCTGGACCAACTCCGGGAGCGATGCCGGCATGGCATGACATGGGTGCCAGAGGATTCTCCCTGTATGGGAGGCGGCTTGTCACCGACAGTTCAATGAGGTCCTTTGCCGCTTCAAAGGTGTTAGGCGTGGAGGGCTGATCCATTAAGTCCTCAAGCCCATTGTCCGCACTGAGCTCACTTAGGCCTGGGCTCGGTGGGACTTGTGGTGCTGAAGCCACTGGTGCCAGCGCCGGTAGAGCGACCTTCCCACTCTTATCAGTGCTCGGGGCCTTGGAAGGCGCCGGCCTCCAACGCAGGGAACATCTGCGCCTTCCTTTTGGCTGCGCTGTGGGCTGCACCAGGGAGGACGAGCGGTGCCCGGGCCTAGTCTGGTGCTCTGGGGCCGATGGCTTTCGGTGTTTAGCCAGTGCCGGGTCTCCCGACGGCTCTGAGGCACTATGCACCGAGGAAGCCGGAGTAGGCGTCGGGCACTCCAGGCCCAGTGGTTGCAATGTGGCTTCCATCAACAACTGCTTTAAATGAAAGTCTCTTTCTTTCTTTGTTCTTGGCTTGAACGCCTTGCAAATCCTACACCGCTCAGTTTGATGTTCTTCCTCCAGGCAATGGGGACACGAGCCGTGGAGGTCACTAATTGGCATAGGCTTGTGGCACGTGGCACAAGTCTTAAACCCGTGGGCCTGCGGCATGCCCCACAGCGGGTGCTGGAAGCCTCCAGGCACCTAATCACTTAAGTGTCCATAACCAAGTTATGCTAACTAACTGATAACAGCTATCTATGAGAAAGGCTAAGGGACTGCTCTCATCCAAGAGAGAGAGGTTGTTCCAACGCTGCCACGGATGGTAAGAAGGAACTGGAGGGGGTCAGGCGGCAGGGGTATATACGCATGGTGCATTGGCATATATATACTCAGGGGCCCCGCTGGGAGCCTCTAAGGGAAAAAGTTTCCGACGCTCATGCACGTGACACGTGCACGCCTAATGTGGAATGGACGTGAACAAGCACTCGAAGAAGAACAATTTTTACTTACAGCTAACTGAAATAAGTTTTGTTTTTTATTTTAAACCTATAGCAAGAACGGATTGAAAAGGAGTAACATTACATTACTTTGGACAACTTTCCTAAACAATTCATAGCTATTGAAATAATGCATCAAGAACAGGCTACCTCTAAAAAGAAAAAGAAAATTAAAATTCCCTATCAAACGATCTGTCTTTGGTCAGTAAAATAGGGGCATTTTACAATTTTTACTCAGGTTTACAGCAATATTTTAAATTGACAAAACAATGGTACCATATATGCATCAGATCTCCTGTTTAGTGAGCCAACTCCTACTCTGAGAAAAAATTCCAATCTTTAGAAGTAGTAGGTGATCAGGAAACAAAAGACAAACTACTAAAAGCAAAACCCTGGAAACAAAAAAAAACCAAAAAGAATAATAAAAGGAAAATTAATCTGGCCAGTCACAAAACAAATTAGATTTTTAACTGAAACTAAAAAACTATTCTGTCATTCTGTAGGTACTGGAAATGAAGTTTATGAATGCTGGGATTCCCCATTCACACAAGACATTTTCTCTCCAACATGTGTATTGCTACTAGTACAAAGGCTAATGATACTGCACCGTACAGTATTGCTACTTACATCTTTGTGTATTACATCATTTATCTGTTAACTCTTTCAAATACTGGAACCCTACCAAGTTCCATTGCCATTTAAAACCTTGACAGAGAAAAGTGAAAGATATTGACAGTGGTTTTAATGTAAAATTTAACTAAGAAGTCATTCAGAAATCCTGTTCAGTTATGCAATGCAGCCAAATACAAATTCATCAGCAAGTTCCCACTATTAACTGTTGCATCCCACTGGATAGTTACAAATATAAAGTTAGAAAAATGCAAAATCATATTTTGAAGAAGGTTCATAAACATTCAGATTCACCATTTTGATCAGCAAGTAACCCACTCACATGATGAATAGATTCTACATACTCCTTTATAAAACACTTTTTTGGAACATATATTTGTTGCTTTCTGCATTCTTCATGCTATACCCTTCATACGTACTTCTTACTCTGCTGTGCTCCTCTGACATATTTATGGAAGATGTTTGTGAAATTTCACAAACAAGAGGGGAAAACATATGTTCACAAACAAAACCAATTTTAAGATGAATCCTCGTCCGCAATCCCACTACAACAACTAAACAAAACATAAAAAAAATTGATGTAATGAGTAAAATGAAGGTAGTAGTAAATGCAGGACACCACAGGCTATCCCAGTATGCTCAAATGGATGGTTCAACTCTCACCTTTATCACGGTCATATAGCAAATCTTCTGTTGAGCAAGGACTCCCATCCTGAGATTCCGGAGGGCAAAAGGGAGAGACACATGGTGAGTGGCTGCTGCAGCTGCTGCTGCGCTCTTGGACAGAGGGAGTCTGTGTATCAATGCTACGCGTGCTACTGCTACGATAATGAGCAGGCAAGGGTGCTCTTCGACCATCAGGAATATCCAAAGGCTGCAACAGAAACAACGCTTAGATTATATAGGAAGGGCTGATTCTAAAAGTCTTCAGCCTGCAAAGCTTCCACTGAAGACTCAGGTCTTGACTACAAAGATCTGTTCTAAACCAAGCATGTTATTTAAAAAGGAAAGAATCATAAAATACACTAACCCTTTTGCTGCAGGGCAACTGCAGCTGCAACTGTATTTCTCATACAAGTTTCAGGACTGGATGCATTTCAGTTTATTCTAGAGTGCTAAGATTTATTCTGCTTAAATAAATACAAAAGTATTTTTAAAAGTAACAATACAAAATGTTAAATAACTGCTTAACTTAGGGATGGCCAACCTGTGCCTGAGAAGGAGCCAGAATTTACCCATGTACATTGCCAAAGAGCCACAGTAATACATCAGCAGCCCCCCATCAGCTCCCCCCCGCCGACCCCCCGGGCCTGCCAGCAGCCCTGCTGATCAGCGCCTCCCCCTCATTCCCCATGCCTCCTGTGGCATGCAGGAGGCTCTTGGGGGAGGGGGAGGAGCGAGGGCGTGGCAGGCTCAGAGAAGGGGGCAGGAAGGAGTAGGGGCCTTGGGAGAAGGGGTGAAGCAGGGGCAGGGCCGTGAGCACACATTTCCCCCCCACCCCCTTCCCTGGCACTTTGGAAAGTTGGCGCCTGTAGCTCCAGTCCCGGAGTTGGTGCCTATGCAAGGAGCCGCATGTGGCTCTGGAGCCACAGGTTGGCCACCCCTAGCTTAACTTCTCAGTTTTGTTTAACAGAGATAACTACAGTAGTATAATTTCCAATAAGTTTCTATTGTTACAAAAAGAAAAAAAAATCGCCTTAACAAAGATCTCCAGTTGATAGGACTTTATGCTTTGGTGTAGCTAGTTTTGGTGAGAGTACAATGAAAGATGAAAATATAATAGTATGTTACATGCCTAGTTTAAAAAAATATATGATTTTTTCAACTATGGCGTACCATTCTCTGGTCCACTGTTTAAGCCTCTCCTGCCCACTCCCCTTTTGGTGATAGTGACAAACCAGGTTGGTGTACTCCACCTATTTGCTATTCTTTTCCTGCCTGGGTATATAGTTTTGTCTTTGAGAACAGTGTTCTCGCAACATCCCCTGTCAAATCTGTAGAGCCCTGCAAAGCTACGGGTATCCGCTTTATATCTGCGGGGGGGGGGGGGGGATGGGGGCTGGAGGGGACAGGGACACTGTGTGGGGGGAGGGGGCTGCTTGGGCCCCACACCCAGGGCAGGTGGAGGATCCACACACTCCCCACCCCCAGCCAGAGCTGGGTCATGGAGAGCTGCGGAGGCAGCTGTGAAGAGTCTGGGTCTCTCCACCTTACCTGGGCAGAGGGGCTGGGGAGCAGGGATACTAGGTGGGTGGAGGGGTTGGAGGGCAGGACATGGGCCGGGGGCTGCTCGGGCTCCCTGCCCAGGGCAGTTGGAGGGTCTGCCACAGCACAGCTGCCTGCCTAGCTCTTACCATGGCCAGGTTGCAGCTCAGAGCCGCCCCTCTGCCAGAGCCGGGTCCAGGAGAGCGGTGCTGGCAGCTGTGGGGACGCTGGGTCTCTCCACCTGCCCTGGGTGGAAAGGGATACTGGGTGGGGGGGCTGGAAAGCTGTGACATTTGATAGGGGGATGCTCAGGCCCCCTGCCCAGGGTAGGCAGACCTGAGCAGCCCACAGGCAGCTCCAAAGGTCTCCCCGCTCCCAGAGCGGTGTGGCGCCCAGCCGAGGAGCCGTGGTGGACCCTCCACCTGCCTGCGGTGTGGGGAGAGGGACTGAGAGCAGCCCCTGGCCGTGTCACCGCTCCCCGCCCAGCCGAGGGCAGGGAGGGTCCACAACTCCGCACGGGCTCCCCACAGCTGCTTATGTATCTCTCTCTGACCAGGCTCTGGCTGGGGGGGGTGGGGGGGGGGGGAATGCCTTGGAGCCTCGGGCAGGCCCTCAGTGTAGAGCCCTTCAAATCCACAGATAATTTTTGCGGACCATGGATTGGATGCAGATACACATTTGTGTATCAGCGCAGGGCTCTACAAATCTGAATTATATTGCACTTAAAAACAGGAGCAGGAGAACAAATAAAAGCAATAAATAAACATACCAATTTTAGTCTCATTTAGGCAAGGACTAGGAAAGATTTTTTTAAAATTTTATTTTAGACAAAACGGTTCAGCCATTTCTGAGAATGAGGCTAGGGGAAATACATTGTTTTGCCCTTGTTAAAAAATTCGGACTTTTACTTTGAACAAGTGACTTGCTTAGCACCGCATAGGAGCTCTGTGGCTCTGACAGCATTAATTCTAGCATGTCCTAACATCTGAATGCTTTCACTTCATAACCTTAATAATGTTCTTTCAACATATTTTTTGTATGCAATACTATATAGACTAAATATTTCTCAGTAAAAACTTACTAAAGCTACTGATAACATGGGTAAAAATTATGACTACATAGCTTTAATTTCACTTTTCTTTTCATATGCCATCTTGAATGGAAAAAAGAAAGCTGCCATCAAATCATATGAAATTTAGACTGTTAACTGAAACTGTGTTATATATATATGGTACATTACTTCTCAGGAAAGAAAACTCTAAACATAAATGGTCAAACTTTCACCAACAATAAGTGCTTGGTAAACGTCCAACACAGCATGCCATGGCATGATGTCTGAACACAAGAAACGAACATCTTCAGAGCCCAATCAGAACACATTTTCCTTATAATGATTGTTATCAGACCAAATGTAGATGCTCATTTAGCAACAATAATCAATTGTTCTGTGAATTATAGAGAAAATATAATTTCATTTTACTCCTCTAAAGATGAACATTTATCACTAATCAGGAATTAGATTTCACTATAAAGAAGATTAAGTACGTAAAAAGGAAAAAAAAAATCAGACCTCAAACAGGAACAGCTTTAATAAGCCAAAAAGAAAAGGAGTACTTGTGGCACCTTAGAGACTAACAAATTTATTTGAGCATAAGCTTTCGTGAGCTACAGCTCACTTCATCGGATGCATTCAGTGAGCTGTAGCTCACGAAAGCTTATGATCAAATAAATTTGTTAGTCTCTTTGGTGCCACAAGTACTCCTTTTCTTTTTGCTAATACAGACTAACATGGCTGCTACTCTGAAACCTTTAACAAGTCAGTAGTTTTAAATATTTAAATTTTGAGGGGCAAAAATGCCACTGTACAGTCAAGAAGTGTATCACATACAAAATATTTCACCTTGCCATGAAGCTAAGATTATGGAAAACAGAAGTTTTCATTCTCTAGACAGACACTATTCTATGTAAGTTTTATGTAATGGTGTTCACTACTTAGAAAATTCCCATAGATATTTCAGAGACTACTTTTCTTCTGCAGAATTCTACTTCCCCTTCATATAAAATCCAAGCCTCTTTACTGTACTGAGGAATGCAATTTAAAAAAACCTGTAAAAATACTAACTGTGAACTTTCACTTTAATGTTGTTTCTTGTGCAGTTTTTAAATTCCAGCAAATAAAAATCAAAATATTTTAAAGACCCTGAATGGCTTTTAACAACTTAAATCAATATTTCAAAATTACTTTCCATGAGCCATATCTACAGTTTATGGAGTATGTTAAAAATTGAGGTCTTCACAATTTTAAACTGAAGAAATGAAGTAATTAATTCACAACAGCTGCTTTAACTTCTTATGATGATAAATTCATGGAAAATTAAATGAATTTTTCTGTATTGTGAGTGCTTTTGGTAAGAGAATCAAGTCATGTGTGTTAGTCTTTTGTATATTGACAGAATGCTAACTGAGCCCAGAAAATGGCATGACATTGACAGCTATTTGTCTCCCTCTCTCTTGCAAAAAGTCCCTTAAGCAGAGATAAAGACATGGCCAATCTGACAGCAGCATACCCTTCTCAAGGTACTCCATTAAAATTCACCAATAAACTACACTCAGGGCTTGTCTACATTACCCGCAGGATTGACGGGTAGCGATGGATCCAGCGGGGGTCGATTTATCGCATCTAGTCTAGATGTGATAAATTGACCGCCGAGCGCTCTCCTGTCAACTCCTGTACTCCACCGGAACAAGAGGCGCAGTGCATACCAGGCCTCAATGGTAGACGGAAACCACCTACATTCTGAGCATTAGTAATGTTACTGAGATACAGTGTACCTATAATACGCACAAGAGATCTAGTTTCCACATATCTTACAGCTGTTTAGGAAATAAATATTTCAGTCTCAAAGTTAGAACTTTTTCTATTTAAAACCACCATCCAGGCTGGAACATAAAAAAGACAGAGATAAGATACAAATTGTCTTTGCCCTTTATAATAGCAGTGAAGCGGACCAACATTGTAGTAGAAGCAGACATAGTCAAGACCAGTGAAAGCAAAACTCTATAGTGCATTCCAAGAATGCCTTGGAATAAGAATAAATGAAACCAGTGGATATTCAAACAGGAGATGAAGGGATACTGCAAGGATCTTTCACACTTATGGAGATTAGAAAACAGTCATATCTTAATACAGGATTGAATCTTTGGACAGTGGGACACACATAAACTAGTTTACTCTCTTGTTCCACAAGTATTAGGAATTAAACAAAATACATGGTTAAAGTGAACATTTAAAAAGGCTAATCTTTTCTAGGATGGCTTTTTTTTTAAAAAAAAAATATAGTGTCACATCTTTATACAGCTAAAATGTTCTAATTTAAAAAACTTTATATAAAGGTTTTGGATCAGGTATGTTCATTTATACTTAATGTACAGAAAAACAATGTCCAGCTACTGGCATTTGTCTATTGGTTGAACAAGTAGAAAAATGCCCTGTAACTGGACACCTCTGATTTTCCATACATCAAACATGAGAGGTTGATCATGCTTTCCATCTAAATAAAATTCAGTACTCCACTCCGGCCACCACAAACACACTGTATTGTAGATCTACTGCAGACTAAGAGGACAAAATCCAGACTCCAAATCCATACACATGGCTGCAGGAGGAAA